GAGCCATTCCTAGCACCCATCCGTGTCTGGCAATCTCGCCAGGCCGAGAAGGCCAGGCTCGCAGAGAAAGAGAAGGAGCTTGCACGTCAACAGTACCAGCTTTCCGTCGAGAACCTCTCGCGCTCGACCAAGCCCTACGCATCAAACTCATCCCTTTCATCATATGCCTCTCGTCCCCAGAGGCATCCTGCACCACGCTACATCCCATCATCCCGCGCAGCATCGCGCACCCCATCTCTATCGCCGCCCACCAGGAGCTCGTCTGTCTCGACATCGTCCGACTCGCCCGACAGCTTCCTCGACGAGCCTTCAGAGGCTATCCTCCAGCGCTACGACGCAGACATGGGCGCCAATCTTGTATATATCAATGGCCCCATCTCATCGTATGCACCAAAGCAGCAACACGCCCTCCCGTTGTACGACACACAGCCCTCGAAGAAGGCCAAGACGTCAGCGGGCGGCATCTTCAGCAGAATGTTTGGCCAGACTGGCGCCTACGCCGGCCGCCAGACTGGCTATTAATTCTATTCGCTATTCCACCGTTTTATCCACCACACTGTCGCTTACCGACCTTACGACTTTCCTAGTTTACATGACATGATCCGATGAAAGATGCTCACTGGATGGACATCTCTTCGCCCATCTCATCAACCTTTGCATCGGCAGGCGTTTACACAATTAGCATTTGCACAGCACAGCATTGTACCGGCGTTGGATATCATCATCATCTTGAATCGCATCTATATTGCGTCTCGGCGCGACCGACTCAGAACAGTTTAGCTTAGCTAGCTTACCATTTATCCGTTCCCTGCACTTGTTTGCGGCAACGCGAGTAATGAATAAAAAATCCGTCAAAACGCATTTTTCCGTCTCTCCGAGGTACTTGGCAACGGGTGTTCGTGATGAATGACTCTTGCTTTGTTCTTGCAATTTCCGTAGATTGGGGACTGACATGCGCGCTAGGTTCGACGGGTATCTATCAAGTTAGTGCAGAAGGCTAACTTACACATTAGGTGGCGTGCGGCTCACCAAGCGACTCATCAATACGCGACTGTGGACACTGCATGAAAGAATCACGCGAGAGATATTGAAGGATGGCGATCTATCGCTGTAATTCGTACGAAGCGATGCAAGAGGGGTTCGGGAGGGCTGTACAGAGGGCACCTCAACAATCAAACACAGGCATAAATTACGGCATAGATCACACCGGTCACTAGTCTACACATCTATATGGTACAGCCCCGAAGCTATACAGGACCTGAGTTTCCACGTCTTGCGACGCTGTCCAGTCGTCTTGCCTTGTACTACATTCTTTGACGGGCCGTCTGCGCAGCCACAATAGGCAGACTAATCTAACGACCACACATAATCAGCTATTATGCATGCTACCTAAACACCTACTACAAGGCCACAACCCAATATCTGCCAACCTCAGCACTGAGGTCGACCAAGGCTGAGTCGTGCCGGTGAAAAACCGTCAACGACATCATACCTCCACTATACTTGGTGATCACAGCTAATCCCAATCACAACCGGCGGTAAGCCCGGCACGTACCAAATTCTATACCGAGGCACTCTCCGAAAGCGCACCGATGAAGAAATGAGCAAAAGGCAGATTATGATGCAAGATGCAACGGCAACACAATATCGTGTATGCAGGAGTCAAGGAGTTTGGACCGCGTAGATCAAACGCGGTTTGTGGTGGGATAAGAAGTACGCTTGCCTTTTTTGAGCATGGCAGGGTGGGAACGCTGGGTTTCAGATGTGCAGCTTGGCGCTAGAGTGTTTGGGTGTGGTTGGTCGGTTCCAGGGGCATAGTCAGCCGAGGAGGATGAAGACTAATGCTGGGATTGCTGGCTTCGTTGTTTTTTGCATGTGCGGCAGATGCGTTGGCATCAGTTTACCGTCTGTTGAGGCTGCTGGTACAATGGGGCTGGGGAAGATGGACATGGACTAAGCAACTTGGTGATGTCATCAGTCGTGAGCTTGGGCTTGGGGTCGTGGTCGGGCGAGTCTCAGTCTGCGACGCGGTGATGCTATGCACGATACTCTTTATCGGTCTGGTCAATTGAGGAAGTATGCTTCCGCTTCGCTTACTGGACAGATGGCGATGCGGTCCCGTTACCAAGGTACCTACCTTGCGATGCGCCAGATGAACCGTTCGCCGCGTTTTGATCGCGCACCAGATCTCGCTGCACCTAGCAACACTCCAACTACGAGATTGCCGATGAAGTACTGTTCGTACTATCTAGAAGGATTATGCTGATCGAGCGCATCCGGTAGTTGACAATGCTTCCAAGTCATCTCTCAATGCTCTCCCAAATCCAGAAGGCGCATTACCTGCCAACCCGACAAGACCAACACATGAACTGAGCAAGGAGATGCCATACTCATCCAGTCCAATATTTGCACAATATCGATAATTCTCACATGTATCCTTTCATGCAGGAGAAGTTATGCTCAAACGTACCTCATCAGGCCTTTTCACAGTGGGTCTCAAGTCTCAGGCATGAATCTCGCCGCACCTGATACAACAATTGTCAACACTTTCTTGGGGCACGGTAGGCTACCAAGCCGAACATTCAACCACCGTCTAAGATGCTCAACTCGCGATTCCATCGATTTTGCATTCTATCACTCGTTCATCCACCTTGAAGGTTTTCTTTCGTAACCGCTGGCCGGTCCCTTTTCACTCGTTTAATTTTGTAATGGTTCGACAATTCACTTTTCTACCTAGCGATCGAAGGCCGACTGGAAATGATGGCCGAACGATGCGACATAGCCACTGGGGACGCTACAATACCTTCTACGGACTTTCGTTTACGACAACCCTTTCGACAGTACTTTTGCTTTCACAACTCAACGAATGGCGTGTAACCGGAGAGCTCTTCACCTTGGCAAACAGATTTCCTGGTTCCGCAGCGCTTGTTGTACAGCTTCTGGCCGCTTTCTTCGGACTTTTGCATCTTGCGGTCATCTGCAAACTCATGAACTATGCACTTCGATTACGTCTTGCCAATGTCAGCGTGTCTCTGGACGTGTTGCGTACATGGGTGGATATGAGCATCATGAGAGTGGACTGGGACTTACCCCTACGCTTCTTCTTTCCATCCGTCCTTGTCGTGCTACTCAGTCTTGTACCTGCAGCGCTCTGGGCTGGTTCAATGACACCATCGGTATCGCGGACCGTAGGTGGCGGCATGCTTCTCATACCTAGTTATGAAGACGTCTCGATGATCAAGGAATATCCGATGATGATTGGCAGCTCAGGACCATCAATGCGTTCACAGAAAGGTTTTTTCACTTATTCAGTTGGTCAACAACAAAGCAGTCAGCTCCTTGCATCTGCAGCTCAAGCCTCTTCCTTTGGTATGGATTCGCATGTCCATCGCAAGCTTGACAACACACGTTTCAGCTACCGGGGCCGTTCATATGGTGTCGGTGCAGCTGTCGGATTGAAGGACCAAGCAATCACCTCGAACAGCCAGATTGCAGGATATATCTATGAGGAGGCGGGCTATGTGGCAAACGTAACATGCGCATACAACGCAACTTCCAACTTCACTCTTTCCGGACCAGTCAACGAATGGATATACGCAGCGTCTGGTAATCTCCCAGATAGCGAAGAGGGCCCAGAGTACTCAAACTACATCGGTCACGACGGCAAAGCTATTGTAGCAATGGGTGTGGCATATAGTGATCGCTCGCCTCGTCGCTATCTCTCTATCGCGGCTGGCGAAGCGTATTCCTTTCTCAACACCACGCAATGCGAATTCGACTTCACGCCTACACTGTTCAACGTTACCGTCGATGTTGGGAACCTTAGCATCACAGTGAAGCCTATACGGACAATACCCGACTTCAATCCTCAGCGCAACATCACGCGAACTGTTGTACGGCAGTACGAGCTCATGTCCAATGATATGACAAATCTATACGTCTCTCTTCTTGGCGAAGCGTTCAACTCCAGCATCGCAGCATACAAGATGTCACGCGCGTCAGCCACCAACCAAACAATCGACGCAATTCCCCAAGAAGAAGCCACACTTGCCGGTCTCACAAACAGCATGGTCGCCATGGCCGACGATATGTTAGTAGCATACGCATCCGCGCAACTAATGGTCGGACGCATGTTTACACAGCAGCCAGCAAAGGTCTACGTCTACGCCCTGCAATTCGGTCAACCTAGTTACATCTACGCCATCTTCTCTCTCAACCTTGTCATCATTATTGCAGTTGTGTGCGAAGCTTTTCGCACGACAGGCTGGTCTAACCTGGGCCGCTTCAATTACCTCGATCCTCGCGATCTTATCATCGCTGCATCGCGGGGTGGGGGTGATATCGCAGCTGCAGCCGACGATATTATGGAGCGGAGGGAAGGAAAGAGAATGAGGCATATTTGGTTGTTGAGCGATCCTGATGAGGGGAACGGGTCGCTCATTGTTAATCTGAGGGGAGATCAGAACGGACATGTTAAGATCGAAGTTGGGGCTGGACAGTGTGAGAAGGATGCAGAGAGAGACGTCGATAGCGAATATCCGGCGGATGAAAAGACAATGTATACGGAGCCAGGAGTTGCGGCGGAGAGAGGGCCGCTGACGCCTAAGACGCCGATGAAGATGAAGGTTGGCATTTTTGGGTCCAAGTAGAAAGAGACAAAGGTTTAAGACATTGGATCTCGCTAGGTCCGATCTGCGGTGCATACGGTGCGCATTGAACACTTTATCAAAGAACTGAATCAATTACAAGTACTGAGAATAGACATTTCGACACATGGTGAGGTCGTGAATCCGAGAAGTCTCACATGACTGATACTGGAACGAGACTTTAGGAACATGGTCATCAACTCTAGATCCACGAACAAGGATATAACGGCACCCTCAGCTTCGTCTTGGTTCGATAGACAGGCACACTACACACAGCGCCTCAACAACGATAAACAAACTACATTTTTACCAGCACATCAGTCTTCCAAAAACAAAAAAGCGCACTCGTCAGCAATGCTGCCATTCACCCCCCACGAACCAATGCCATCAGGAGACGATGTCACAAGAGCCGATGTCAACGTTCTTGAAAAGATCGACGAGCTCTATCACAGCGCCCAAAACGACCCCGAATACAAGCCGGAGAACTTCGATTTTTGGCTCGACAGTTTGAGTCTGTACCAACGCCAGAAGGCGCGACACTACCTTACAGAGCTGCGGCAACACATCCAGTCGCTTGTAGGCCCCTTTCCTAACAACGTTACCTCTGCGTATCGGGAGCTAGAGCGAGCTGAAAAACGTTTGTGCGAGGAGCTCGACGACCAAGATGAGCAAAAACCACAGGAACTAACATCCGAGCAAACCCGGGAGGCAGAAATCGACCCGGGGCAACCAGCTCGGGAACTTCAAGCTTCGATCAACCCGGCGCCGAATAGCGATGGAGACAGACATCTGGAACTCGTAACATTCTTGGCTTTGGTCATTGTTATTGCGGTCTTGCATCCTATTGAGTTGCTACGTGCGCTAATGACCATCATTGCGTTTCTATGCTGCTTCTCGAAGTAACGACAGTTTTTGGTTTGCTGTAGATTTTCTTTCTAGCTTGTTGTAGATTCCGAACGTTGCTTTCAGGGTTGTTCTAGACTTGCTTTTACGGCGTTGGCGTTCTTTCTTGTCCCTCCAAACATACAAACTGTACAAATCAGATATATAGACCTTTCTTATTGCTAGTCAATTACTCAATCATCTCACACAGAAAATCTTCTACTCAAATCCCAACGTTCACAGTATTACGATACCTACCATGCCTGCCAACGTTTTCGACAACACCCTAGTCACTGACGCCGCTCTTCCGATCAACCCCTCCAGTGCCCCAAAATCCCAGATGGCCTACAAAGAACGCTGCAAGGAGCTGAAGAGAATTATTTACCGTAAGAAGAAAAACATCGACGCAAAACATCGTGACTTCGATAAGCTCCAGGACAAGATCGTAACCGCGGAGAAGGTCAAGCCCGTCGACTCAGCAACGATAGATAAATTGACAAAAGAGCTAGTTGAGCTTCATGCGTACATCGAAGGTATGCTCGGTATACACAACTTCTTCGTTAAAGAGTACCAGACACTTATCGCTGAGAAGAGTGAGAGTGTGAAGGCAAACTTATTCAACGAGATGGGAGCATTGATAAGCGAGGCTGAGGGTGTGGACTCCGATGATGGAGACAGCCAGGATGAGAATGACCAGGCGGTGTAAACAAGGATTGTGCTTCCTGACATGTAATGGGAGATGGAGGTGTACCCTGAGAGCCTACATAGTGGCCTACATTGCTGAAGTATCTTTGAAGCAAATTTACAACAATAGCTTGATAGATACAACAGAAATGAACCGGGCTTCTTTGTACATCCAGTCGGTGATTTTACAACTAAAATGATATCTAGACTTTGTGGTTTGATGTAGACTTGCTTTCAAGGTGTTCACATGCTTTTTGTGGTCACAAGTATGGAGGATAGACAAACGATTCGTGATAGATATGTAAAACATCCAGTATCGATTGTTCATTCACTTATTTAGTACGAACACACTACTGCTGAGTATCTAGTGTGCCCAAGGTTTTTCGCTTTCAGCATGTCTAACAACCCCTCCGACAACAAAGATCCGCTCGGTAGGTCCCTAACTCTAGGCAACCCTTACGACACTCCAGATCCCCGTATGATCTACAACGGACGTCGTGTGGTCGTCGAAACCTACATTGAAGACCTGAAGAACAAAATCCCAGAAATAAAGAGCACCCTTACCGAGCTGAACGACACAATCTCACAGATGGCGAGTGACCCCACCATTCCCACCATTCCCCCAGTAGTCATTGCGCGCTTGAGAGCCAAAGTTTCCCGGCTCTTTGAACGCGCCGTAACTCAGCAGGATATGCTCGGAAATCTCGAGGAGCAGTATAAGGAACTCGTGGATGAGGAAAACGAGGATGTGAAGTAGAGGCTTCTGGTTGAGATGAGAGGCTTCATGCTACGAGCACAGGCACACAATCTTTAAATGCTATTCATCACGATGAGGAAGCAATCTAGCCCTAAGCGGAGACCATCGTGCGTAGATCCTAGTGCTTGATAGTTGAAGTCTTGGACGTAGCAAATCTTTCAGCAGTCCGCCTGGATTCTGTGCTTAGTGCCAGGACAGCGCTAGTATGTGACATTCCAAAGCGTATAGCTACTTGACAAAGATGCCCTTTCTTTGCGTATCGCAAGTCAAAGGAGTGCGAATCCTGACCGAAGCACCAGTCTTGAGCGTCAGCACTCGAACAACCTAGCGAATACTCTGAGAGTCAACGTCTTGGGTACAGATTATAACAACAAATATATTCGTACATGTCTAGCGATCACGGCAAGAAGACAAAGAAAACTGAGAAGCAGATGTATTGCAGGCAACAAACAACGCGAATGCTAGGATATGAACCACAACCAATAAACTATGCGAATGTTGACGATAAGAACCGCAAAAACCTAAGCACACGCACACACACAACCGGCAAAGAGAACACACCAACAGGCTTCGCCATACTCACAGTAGTAGTAGTAGTAGTCATCGTCGTCGTCATCATCATCGTCGTCAGCCTTCGCGTCGCGATGCATGCTGAGTGACTTCTAGTACTTGCGATTGTAGTAATCCGACCACTGGGCGCACTCTACGTAGGTAGTCATGAAGAAGACATCCCTAGCAATCTTGTCCTTTGTGGCGGAGGCCAAAGTCGACTGGATTGACGCGCACTTCTCGGGGTAGAGCCCGCAAAGAGCAGCCAGACAGACCCTGTAGTTGCCGTTGCCATCCTGGAAGGCCGCGACTTGTTCGCACTCGTCATTTACTCCCTCATCGACCCAGTTCTCGTAGTGTTCTCCAAATGACGAGAGACTGGATATGAGGACGTCTTTTGCATCATTGCAGACAACTCCGGGAAGCATGGGGTCGCAAACGGAGTATAAGCAGATCTTTTGAGATTCGGGTTCGAAAAGACGGGGCTCGAGGTTCTTTAGTGGAGACAGAATATCCTGGGCTATACCCATAGGGGTGGAGCAGATGCAGGTGTCGTTCATGTGTCCGCAGAAGTCGCAGTCAGGCTCGCACTCACAGTCGCTCCGAGGAACTTTTGGAGCATCGATGTCAGGATACATTGTCTTCAGCTCCTCTGCAATCTCCTCACACGGGAAGCCCATCAGTAGTGTTACATACTGGGGGTCGCAGATCTTTGGGAATATTATGTGAGCGTGAGACTCTAGTGTTGCTTCGTCGCAAGCTCCGATTCCAGGATGATATTTCCGGATCAGGTCACACAGTGCTGGCTTTGCTCTGTGCTGTGGTGCGATAGTGTCTGGAGGAGACCGAGGGACTGCGGCGGCGCGGCGTCTTGCTGGATAAACAATCCTAGAAAGACACGGGCTGAGTACCAGTAGCTTCTCGCATTCTGGGCAGTCGGTCTGAACAGCATATGGCGGAGTGAACAAACGCAGACTAGAAGTGGAAGACGTTGTGGAGGCGACTTTGGTTGACGAGTGGACTTTGGTGGACGAAGTGTGGACTTTTGTTGACGGCGAAGAAGATACGGAAGAATCATCGGTAGGTGTTGCGACTGAGGATTCCGCAGGAGGCTCATAAGCAGGTGTAGCAGTATATTCACCAGTCAACGCTATCGTGTAGGTAAACTTGAGTGCTGAGCCATCCCTCTCTTCGCAGCAATCAGTGTCCGAATCGGAATCGGTGTCTGCAGCAACTTGAAGGCCGCCTTCTTGAACTTCAGGAAGAACATGGTGGTAGTCGTAACACGCCTTAATTTGTTCCAGAGATGTTGGGTCTTTCTCCGGCGTTGAACGTGGTGAGGTATCGCACAGCACTAGCTCGACGTCATCGGTAGCAGTGCACTGATGGGTCTGGACATTTGCGGACCCGTACTGCGTGGTGCAGCTGTGGAAAGCGAGGTTGTCTTTGAATGCATCTCCTCGAACTTGGGATAGGTCGACCCAGATCTTGTTATCATCGTTGCCGTCGACAGCGTAAGCAAAGTCGATCTCATCGGCGGACTTGAGGATACCATCTGACTTGGTTGAAATCTTAATAGCGACGCCGGGGTTAACGATAGAACCATGACGCCATGGCTCTTGATATTGACCACCAGGTTTGATGGGGACGTTATCGGTGTGGGATGAGCTGAGGACTTGAGGTACAGACCAGACGTAGACGTTGTAGGGACAGTGGTTGGTGACGATAGCCCTAGCCTGAGCCAAGGCTACGAAGGTGAGGACGGGAAGGGCGGATCCACCAAGCATGATGTTCGAGAGTTGCAGTGTAAGAGTTGATCTGTGCTGGTGGCAGTAGAATGTACTTTTCGACTGGATTGGAGAAGAAAGGTGGGCTTGGGGGTGGAAATTGGGCTTTTGTAGACAGTCGAGAGGAGATGAAGTTGTTTTCACGACTGATGCTGGCAGCCATGAAGACGCTCGCTGCTGCCGCAGGGTGGAGCGTCTGGGGTAGGAGCATCGCAGGCGTTGGAAGGCAATAACAAGGCACTACTCTATGTTTGAGCCCATTCAGACTGCCGGACTCTTTTGAAAACTTCGACGATAACGTTGAAGCGACATGTAGGGATAACGCAGCTGTAGGAAGTAGTTTATGGACGTTGGCGGCGTGGAATCTTGTTGTTCAGGACCCGGTGTACTTTCCCTCATGACTAGAAGCGCAGTTGCCATATTCCAGGACGTGTTTCTCGAAGAAGCAGCGCATTTCGAGTACTATAGCTTGATGTCCAGCAAGACGTACTGATATGGCCTAGAAGAGAGAATGTAATGGACAGCTTAAGTCACTCATGAAATGGACAATTTGGTCATTGGTGACTGATGACTACCAACACGCGACGGGCATACTTGCCTTGCCTCATGGAGGATCCGAGAAGTAGCTGTCCCTCAACTTTACGGTGGATGTTGTGATGCAGCTATAAGGTTGACGCGAACCGACGCGTATGGACATGGCAGGTGCTTAGTAAGCCCCACTTCGACCCAGCATGAAGCACTCCGGCTAGCGTCCTGGAGACCTGAGGCGCGAATGAAACACTGCAAACCTCAGCATCAGCGAGTGTACAATAAGAAGATGATGGCCCCGTGTACTTGTCGCGCAAGTTGCGCCTTCTCACTTATCTCAATTTTCGTTCCTGGGTAGCATCGTTGAGGTAGTCTCTGTAGAACGTTAATTCGCGTCCAAGCCTCGAATACGCGCCGTCGCGCCCCACCATCCGCCATGATCCAACAAACCTCCTGTATCGACATGCCAGCCATGTCTTCCGCAATAAAAGAAGTACCCGTTCAACTGCCAAAGAGCTTCGACCGACCCGATGAGCCATGGCACCATTACCTCAATATCGACATGATATGGTATGTCCTCGGATACACGCTCTTCCATCCGTTCGTATCATGGGTTGTGGTACTGTGTCTGCGAGCGCAATACACGCCCTATGAGAACATTGAGATGCGCGTTGCAATGGCCTGGGCCATGCTCATGACGGTCAACGGCATCTTCGGGCTCATCAGCGACCGGATCGCATGGGGATCACCGCGCGAGGTAGACCTAGAAGAAGAGGTTATCGTTATAACGGGCGGTGTTGACGGCCTTGGTGGACTGCTTGCGGAGACGTATGGAATGCGCAACGCGAACATCGCCGTCCTGGATATGAAAGAAGTCGACGAGGATGAAGCAGAGAACAAGGGAGTGGTCTACTATAAGTGCGACGTCAGCGATGCCAAGCAAGTCGAAGCTGCAGCAGCCAAGATTGTCGAAGATGTGAGTGGTAGTTTTTACATGTAACCGTACTCTGCTAACGATCGCAGCTCGGCGCTCCTACTATCTTGATCAATAATGCTGGTATCGTGCAAACCAAGTCAATCCTTGATTCCACCGCTGAAGATGTGGAACGGTATGTATATCTTGGGATGGCTCTTGATCTTTTCTGACACTCTTCCAGCACTTTCCGCGTCAACACACTGGCACACTTTACGACCCTCCGCACATTCGTTCCGTACATGCTGAAAGAAGGCCGCGGCACTATCGTAACTGTCTCCTCTGTCCTTGGCCATCTCGGTGCAGCCAACCTATCCGCGTACACGGCGTCCAAAGCAGCACTTCTTGCGCTGCATCACTCTCTGCGCGCAGAACTTGCACAAGATCCTGACGCGAAGGATATCAAGACAATTCTAGTACAACCTGGTCAGATGGGTACAACAATGTTTGCAGGCCTCAAGACTCCAAGCAACTTCCTGGCACCGGTTATTACGCCAGCCGACATTGGCAAGGATATTATACGGTTGATTGAGAGGGGGGAGAGCGGGGAGATTGCGCTTCCTCTATACTCGAAATACATTCAGATCCTTGGGGTATTGCCTGTAGGCGTACAGCATCTTGTGCGGAAGTGGAGCGGAATGGACAAAGCGGTGGGCAAGATGAAGGAGTCGCGGCAGGGTTCGATCGAGAAGAGGTGATCGGCTTACGGAAAGGCACTCTCTAATGCCTACAGAAGCAGACGCACTCAAATATTGTACAATATACGCTGTAACGATCATGCAACTTGACATCATGCAGTTCGGGTTTCCTGGTGTTTTGGACGTCCTACCACACCTCCTGCAGCGTCTGGCTGCTACGGCCCGGTTTTGGATAGCACGATTGACTACACTAGTACATGGAATAGTCAATTTGGTGTTCGCATGTGAACGACGGTTCGCGGGGACCACTAGCGCCATAGGGCTGACATTAGCGAGCGCTCGCACATCTCGCCGTATTGATTTCGCGGCGGCGACGACGACATCATCAACACAACATAAAAATGTAAGACGACGTTCAGTGCTATATGGTGCAAAGACGATATACATGCGACCGAGGCTAATTGACTGCCAGACTTTCTAAACCTCGAACCAACGCAATGGCCGACCAGAAAGCATCCAAGTACTACGCTGCCGAGGAGGAGGCGCAAATGAAGAAGGTATGCGCAATTACAACGAGGAATTTTCAATCAAGGAGAAGACGCGTAAATATGGGATGTGGAGTTATCGCGAACGCTGAACTAACAAGTCAATTCACAGGCGCGCAAGACAGCACACCCCACCAAATACCGCGAGTCGCTCACCCCCGGCACCGTCCTTATCCTCCTCTCTGGTCGATTCCGCGGCAAGCGCGTCGTGCTTCTGCGCCAGCTCGAACAGGGCGTTCTCCTCATCACCGGCCCCTTCAAGTCTAACGGTGTTCCTCTCCGTCGCGTCAACCACCGCTACGTCATCGCTACTTCTACCGTTGTCGACATCGCTGGTCTTGACGAGGAGGTTGTCGCACGTGTAAGCAAAGACGAGTACTGGGCGCGCGAGAAGAAGGACGGCAAGGGCGAAGACGACTTCTTCAAGGATGGCGAGACACCCACAAAGAAGGAGACCGACCCCCAGCGGATAGAAGACCAGAAGAAGGTGGACAAGGCGCTCATGGCCAACATCAAGAGGACTCCCGACCTCGAGTCCTACTTAGGCGCCAGCTTCAGCCTGAGGAGCAACGAGAAGCCCCACGAGATGGTCTTTTAAGTGTCTACCCGAGAACGGGACGAGAACGAGACGAAAACTTGCGGCAACGATCCAACCAGGAACGACGGTTCGGTCGAGGATGAGCACCCGGACGCTACGAGCGATACGGTACGATTTCATATGTAGATGAGATACCCATGAACCAATTCACAGCACCAACTCTATCCTGCTCGCATCTGCTATACGAACACCTGCAATATTCATGCCAAATTCCTTCTTGTTGTTATTTCCTTGCATGAATATCCCGATTGGTATGGATTGTCGATTTGCTGGCGTGTGATTCGACACTGACTCCCTAAAAGACTTTGTGAGGTACCGCAGCGTAAGCAAATATTGAGTCGTTGAGTATTTTTCTATGTGCTCAAGCGGACTTTCGAAATCGATGTTCTTGTCTCGCGGTAGCACCTACCCTGTAGAAAGACGCGATGGTGGCGTCATAGTAGAACGTGTACATGGTCGGAACTCCCTTCATTTGTACTTTCCAGCACGGGCGAAGAAAGCATCGTGAGCAATACGTCACTATTGCTGAGGACTTCGATATCAGCCCTGCTTGGCTGCTGGTCCGCTCCATCTCATTTGGGTGCCACGCCAAGCATTGGCCTCCTGCCTCGAGGTCACCACTGCAAGATAGCATCGGTTCTTCGGCATTCCGGTGGAATCGTTCCACGTGGTAAACATACGAGCATGCGAACCGATAATGATAACGCCATGTAGATGACCTCACTCCTTTGCCAGTCGCATTGCAGCCACACTCACCCTCACACCAACGCTCTATCACACCCTTGCTTACGCACCCTCTCTCTATCGAAGACTCCCAAATGGCCAGCGACGTAAAGAGAACACCACTCCAGAAACTGTTCCAGGACACTGGTAGTCAGAACAATCCCAGCCTTCAGACGCACCATGATCTACGCGGTTTTCTCAGTGGTACCACTACGAGTGGTGGATTGGACGATAGCTCTTACGATGTATGTGATTTTCTTCACATACTCCGAGATGCAGCTCAAGGGTGTCAACAGGAAAAAATCGTACAATTCTTAGCACCGGCTGATGTTGGCGAGACAAGCCCAAGTCGGTTGCTCAAGACGCTGTGCAAGGATATGGAACAACCTGTGGCCTCGTCACTGGGTGATCAATGTAGGCTCTCTTGGCTGTTTTCTGTACTTAGAGACTAACACAAAGCCAGACCAGTATCGATCCGCTGACGGAAGCAACAACAACATCCATCTGCCAAACGTCGGGAAAGCCGGCTCCTACTATGCTCGCATGGTCACACCGAGACATGTACCCACAAAGTTACCTGATCCGGAATTTCTCTTCGACACACTACTAGCGCGAGAGGCAAAGCCTGAGCCCCATCCCAGCCAGCTATCCAGCCTTTTCTTCGCTTTCGCGGCTGTCATAGTCTGTGACGTGTTTCGCACAGGCGACGAAGACCAGAACATGGCCATGCCGTCTTCATACTTGGACCTGTCCTCACTATATGGGGAGACGAAGGATTCACAGAATATGGTCCGTACCTTTGTTGATGGGAAGCTGAAACCAGATGCTTTTGCTGACACACGGATTCTCAGCCGTCCAGCAGCAGTAAGGTACTTTTTGCATTTGATTGAATTACTACTTACTGTCAAAAGTCTTGTGCATTGATCATATGCTTCTCGAGGTTTCACAACCTTGTCGTAGAGCAATTGGCGCTCATCAACGAGAACGGTCGATTCAGCCCGCCACCTAATATAGGCGGCATCGACCCTGGTTCCTACAGAAAAGCCGTCGCCAAGCGCGACAACGACCTATTCCAGACTGCACGGCTTGTGACAACCGGCTTATACATCAACATAGTCCTGAAAGACTATGTGCGCTCGATCCTCAACCTACAGTGTGTAGACTCGTCAGCGAACTTGGATCCACGAGCGAAGATAGAGGATATTCTTGGCCAGACGGACTCCGACAAGGCGCGAGGCAACCAGACCAGCGCGGAGATCAACATGATCTACCGCTGGCACTCGACCATATCGATGAGAGATGAGGCATGGCTTATCGACCATATGACAAAGATCTGCCCAGATATGGACATTGATAACATGACTTTAGAAGATATGCGGGCTGGTGTACGTCGACATGCTGCAACACCCCCAGCAGACCCAGGTAGGCGCGTCTTTGCTGGCCTCGAACGAAACCTTGACGGTTACTTTAGAGACCAAGACCTGGTGAAGATACTGACAGAAGCTACCGATGAGGTGGCCATGAGCTTTGGTCCGCATCGTGTTCCGCAAGCGTTGAAGGTCATTGAACTCATGAGTATCGAACAAGGTCGAGAGTGGGGTCTGGCCTCTCTTGATGAGACAAGAAGGTTCTTTGGCATGACATCTCACACATCTTTCACCGACATTCACTCCGATCCAGATGTCGCCGCAGCGCTCGAGGTCTTATATGGAGATGTTGAGAATGTTGAGCTCTACGCTGGAGCTATCCTGGAACAGCCAAGTGTACCCATGACTCCTGGATCCGGTCTTTGTGCGGGCACGACCACAACCCGAGCAGTTGTGTCACATGCGCTCTCGCTTGTTCGAGGCGACCGGTTCTATACGGTAGACTACACGCCCTATCATCTGACAGCCTTTGGATTTAATATGGCATCCAGCGATTATTCCATCGCTGGTGGAGGCGTTATATACAAGCTATTGATGAGAGTCTTTCCCGAATACTATCGTGGCAAATCGATCTACGCACATTACCCACTGACCACCCCGCCCGAGATGAGAAGAAGGCAAAAGTCTCTCGGACACGAAATGGATTTCGACTATGACAAGCCTCGCTATGGAGCGCCGCCCACAGTTATTACTGATTACAAGATGATACTTCGCATTCTCGGCGATCAAACTTTGTACACCACAGCATGGACCCATACTCTGCGGCAGTTGGACTACCAAGAACACGTCCTCATCGGAGATAATCCGGGTGCCAGTAAACAGCAGAATATCATCCGACAGGCTATTCTTGGCCCCAAAGATTCTATTGATGTCTTTTCGCATTTCCTGAACCTTCGTACGAGCCAACTTGTGCAGACGGACAGCAAGTGGCTTTCCAAAGTTGCTGAAATTGATGCGATCAAAGATGTAGCAGCTCGAAGCTGGACACAGTTTGTAGCATGTCTATTCCACTTCCCGATCAAGGACTCGCAAGGTTCTACAGCCAGCTTTGACGATAAGCAACTCTTCAGCAAGATGACAGCGATTTTCGAATTCGTTCATCTAGACAACACACCCGCAAAGTCCACAACGCTTCGACGAAATGCGATGGCCGCAAGCGACGAATTGACAAGAGAAGTCAGAACGGTCTGCGACGATATTAAAGCGTCGTCTCCTGTGCAACACTTTGAATTTCACAGACAGCGACACGAGAAGCGTGATCCTCTCCCAGATCACGGAGCGAAGGTAATCCAGCGGCTCTTCGATAGCGGGGCAAAGGTCAAAGAGGTCGTTTCTTTGTTGGTGATCCTCGCCGTCGATCTCGTCGTATTTAGCACTTTTTCTGTAAGTGTTTCGACCATGCTCGGGTCAAGCTCCTCCTAATAGTATCTAGTTCTGTCAGATAATCGATCTCTTCCTTTCCGAGCCCTACCACTCCACACACTGGCCAGATATCCAGAAGCTAGCCAAGGACACCACACCAGCAAATTCTGAAGTTCTCCGTGCATACGTTCTTGAAGCTCTCCGTCTTATTACACCTGCGACGGGCTTCCTCCGCATTCCGAACACCTTTCTCACCACCAGTGATTGGCGACACGCAGAGGGTATCTCTAAGGGCGACGACCTCATTCTAGACGTAGCAACTGCATCTCGCGACCCTGAAATGTTCCCAGACCCTGACAACATCAACCTCGATCGGCCTCAAGAGCTCTATCTGCCCTTTCTCGACGGACTGCATGGATCGCTGACCAGGCCTATCATCGTTGCTGGTCTAGTCACCCAATTGCGCATCTTTGCTAGATTAGAAGGTCTCAGAAAAGGGCCGGGTACGCAAGAGACCTTGAGACGGGAGGTTTCAGAAGGCACGATAAGCTTCTTGAGTGAAGCGAAGGATGAGTGGGTATCGCTGCCAGTCAGTAAGTGGATGGTCGCTGTATACAATCTATAGCAAGGCTTCTAATCGTTGTTTACAGGCATGCGAGTACACTACGACGCCTTCGATCCAACTGGGTGCGCGACATTGACATAGCCGAGAGTCTAGCAGATTAGATGTAGTCTAGCTCTCATTTACTATGATGCCTTCGCTGTTGTCACCATAAACTCAGCACATGTTGCTAAAGCTCGCTTCTGTTTTCTCATCGCAGACAGATATAATAAAATTCCATTTCCTCTACCAAATATTTCAACGTGAACAACAACCACTTGATACCTTCGAGACTTCGATAACTACTAACGTTATTTTACGCTTCGGCTGGAAACACGCTAAGCTATCTACGACCAATATGTGCCAAAATCCATCTCATGGCGAAATCGAGCGGGATAGTACACTTTACACACTGGCACACATCGACAACTTGGCGGCCTGTAGCATAGTCAGTATACATTAAATCTTAAGTTTGGCACTTGGAACCCACAGTTCTGTCGATGGAGTGCCAAGAATTAATGCAGTTGCAGCATCTTGGTCGTGATCACGCTTTCCTGCGAAGATCTCCTCCCACTTCGTCTGCGTGTCGGTATTTACGCAACCAGTCAGAGTGACCTTTACTTTCCCTTCCTTACATTTGTCGATTAGGAAAGGGTAAGCGAAAGTACAGATCCAGTCAACAATAGTCCGTTGACAGCAGACGTGTAGGTATTTTCGATCATCCCAAGGAGCCATCATAATTCCCCAAGGACTGCCTTCGTACCCATCGTCGAGTCCTCGAAAACGAAGTCGAAGGTCCCTGAGGTTGCGAAGATCATTGAGAGAGGACCCGAGAGAATGGGAAACTTCTATGAATATGTAGGGTTCGCGCCTCGAAACCTTTACACCCAAGAAGTCGAACCAGTCAGCGTTCGTAAAGGCCAGTTCTACCTTGCTCAAATATTCGTAGTTCACGGCTGGTCCAGGTCGAGCATTAATAGCTTTGTGGAAGATCCCTGAGTCGAAGAAACAGCTGTGCATAAGTTCCCAGCCAGTATGCAGCACTTCTTCCCGCATCCACGAGCTAACAAGCAAAAGCTCTAAAGCCGGCTCATATACAAAGGGTCGGGCCTCTGGTACATGTGACTTATTCATCTGCATTCTTACTTTGTCGTTGTGGAAGATCCACATATTGTAACCCATGCCGAGAGTAAGACGAGCAGTCCGGCAGGCCATTGTGACTTCTCTGCTGCTTTCAGAATCTCGGGTACTCAATGGATACAGCTCACCTCCGAGAGCGTACTGATAGATCGGCGTTCGAATCTCGCCAGGAAGATCTACGAAACGACGCTTGCTGCCCGAGTATTTCCACCAGTTGAACTGAAGGCTATAGCCAGTTCTGCCAACCCAGCCTAGCAAAGTAGTGGAAACTGTCTCAAGCCAGTCTCCAAAAACTATCCACTTCTCCTCATCTGGTTCGAAGATGTGGACAGTCTCAGCAGTTGGTGGTGAGCCTTTGGGTAGAATGGCAACCCACTTTGCGTATCTCTTGTCGCACCTCCGGAGTTTCCAGCCACGTCGCGTCTTCGATTCGAAGTAGTAACGCTTGATATCGAAGAGATTCAGGCAAGGTGGCCACAGTGGAGGTGTGTCGTCGACAGGTCGAATTTCATGCTTCACTGCAAACACAGAGAAATTCTTCTTCTTCTTGGCGTTGAGGATATAGTACATGGCAGCGAGTACAGGATCGTTGTAATGCCAGCCTTTGTTGAAACTGATGACGGTTTTTCTTGTATAGCGGCCGACCTGTCCATCCTGCGGGCACTTCATCATCTCGATCGAATCGGTGATGTTGTCGTCACGCGCATTGGGAAGGATCAAGTTGTCCTTACGAGGGCGCTCTGCAAGATCACCAGCCGGAGGGTCAAAAATAGCTAGACGACTCAGGAAGAAGCTCGGCGCTCTAGCGTTAAGCTTCGGGGACTTGACAGGCACGAACGATGGCGCTGTGGCGCTAAGCTCCAGGCTCTCGAGGCCGCCATGTTGATCTCCCAGTGTGGACTGCTGGGCAGCTGGATACGAAGGGGTTATGAAAGGCGGAGAGCAATCGTGTTCGTATTGCTGAGACGAGTCGTATAGTTGAATACCCGGTAGTAAAGCAACAGGCTCAGACCTGCTCGCGTATCGAAGAGGAGCATAGTTCCCATAGCCGGCGGATACTTGACCACAAGGAACCCAAGGATCGGAGGGTATAAACAGCAGTACTCGAGGAGGATTGAACTTAGTCATACTGTTGTCTTCATGGTTCTGAGAGTCATGAGTGGATTCGAAGGACACGAGGGTGGAGTTTGAAGGAGCCATCTCGTGTGCTGGTTCGGAGTTGGTAGTTCTATACTGCGTTCGAAAGTGTTTTCAGGAAACAAGAAGTCCGAGATTATATACTAGCAAGGCGTTCCTAGCGCCAGAGAAAGGCAACCGTTCCATGCATTGACCTACAGGAGGTGCTTCGGCGAACGGTGGGAGCCTACCTAAAGGTTCCATTTCACTCTTCGTCGCCCTTGAGTACTCCGCCGTGGTCAATAGTCTCGACCCGCGAGGCAACGCATCGAGTTTATATAAGCTCTGGACCTGTTCGTTTGATCTTTGCTGTTTGCGATTCGCAACTCTGGATTCTAGACCACAAAAAAGAAGTGCGACAACCGACGGAAGACTGCAGAGTGGATATACGCAATTGTTGTAGGTCTGACATGTACTTGGTACGGCTACAACATACCTTAATGCCTTTCGCAAACAACATTTCCTGCTTGGACACCGCTGCATTATGCGTGCGACACGTTTACACTTCGCTGGTGCTCTGTGTCTGAACAGGGAGAGTTTACGGAAAAGCGAAAAATTGTACCTGTAAGGTGCTTACGGGCTTTAGTCTGTCATACTTTAGGAAATGATTATTTGGAGACCTGGAGTTGCTTTAATCGTGTCGTCTCTTCATATATTTATATATATATACCTTCTATCACCTGTCTACGCCTCTCATGCGACCACGTCGTTGGCGTCTCTTTCTCTCTGCTGCTCTTCCTTCTTCCCTAGCCTGCCAGAGCTCTTGTGGATGCCCTCTAGTACTTGCTTGATCTCTTGTAGGAAGCGATCTACTTCCTTCTCTGTACCGACCGTTATCCTCAAGCAGCCTAGACATCCATGCTCTTTTCCTCTGAACCTCACTACGACGCCTTTCTCTTCTGCAAGACCCTCGTATACTGCCAGGGCCGTCTCGTTCGATGGCTTGCCACCTTGATCCGCAGGCGCATCAAGTATCTGGTAGAGCAAAAAGTTCGACTCGACACCGCCGTGAAGCTGTCCGATACCGGGAATCTTGGGCAGTTCCTCGATCAGTCTGTTGCGCTGCTTGACGATAAGGTCCTTGTTTCGTGTCATAACTTGCAGGTGTTTCGGGCTCAGAGCTGCGCGTGCGAGCTGACTCGTTGGGTTGGGGATGTTGTACGGCGCCTTCATGTTGTTCAGGATCTGTGCGATTGCCGGGTCCGCGAATGCAGCGCCTAGTCGAATACCTGCAAGACCGAAGGCCTTTGACAGTGTCTGCATGACTACCAGGTTCGGCCACTCGGCGACCCACTCTGCTAGACTTGTTCCATCAGGTGAAAAGTCGATGTATGCTTCGTCCACCACGACCACACCATTCCATGGGTGTTCTAGTATCTTTTGTACGTCCTCTTTCTTGAGTAGCTTTCCGGTCGGGTTGCCAGGTGAACACAGATATGCTAGCTTGATGCTCTTGTCCTCATCCATCGCCTTCAGTATCGCGGGTACGTCGAGATCGAAACTTGGGGTTTGTAAGGGGATCTTGGCTAGGGCAACATCGTTGACCTGCGCAGAAACGCTATACATGCCGTACGTGGGCGGACATGTCAGGATCTTCTCCTTGCCGGGAACGCAGAAGGCGCGAATAAGAGCATCGATCGCTTCGTCTGAGCCGACACCAACGAAGAGATTGGCGGGCGTGATCTTCTTTGGTGTGTGGCTGTGGGTATTTCGGAGGTTGCAGAGGAGTTGCTTAAGTTCTTCTTGGTGGCTGAATCAGCTCGTCAGCATACTACAATGCAAATTGTTGCGATCTGCATACGGATCTGGGTATCGGTTCAGGCCAAGCAAATCGACGTCAATCGCGGAAGATGAGTCTGAAGTGCCATTGACATTCGCGCCAGGCAGCTTTCCCTCGCCATTTAACGCTAGTCCCGGTCCGTATGCGTTTTCATTCGCGTCGAGGAGGATGTTGGTGCCGTCATCTTTATAGTCGCTACGCGTCGTGAGCTTGGTACCTGGATAAGAGTCATGGATATTCACCTACTCGCGCGCGCATCGGTATGGCTCCAATGCGAGGATGTTGGATCGCGCGCATTTCTGCAGATCAAACGCAGTGTTCTTTGCGACCATTGTGGGTGTTGGCTGACTGTTAATGGAGGATGTAGTGGGATTACAGTAAGGTCACGTCGAAGTTGGTGTTCGCGGGGAACTTTTTGTTTCGCGGGGCTGGACGCGGCGATGTCGGGAGTCATTCATCATCGTTCTGTCGAGGTAGGCCAAATTTGGATCTTGTTCTGATTGGCGAATAGATTGTAATGTAGTGAGTGAGAATAACTGCCTTCAAGCCATTTGATTCTAACCTTGTGTACAAGTGCAAGGCTGATGTCCTTTGCTGGACGAGATGTATTTGAAATGCATTACAACCAACCACGCCAGGAGGTCCTGTCGCAACTCTGATCACTGGAACACCGACACTATATGGGAAGCCGTCGACTTTCAATGTCGTTTCGCGGTTTCTGTATGCTTTGAGTGTGCACTAAGGCTCTCCTGGGTCAAACATTCGTCAGGGGTGGAAGCAACAGCATGTTGATTGCAAGTGCTTCAAGAGTGGTTACACAGCATTGGGTGATAGGCAATCGAGGGTCAGTGTAGAAGTTACTAGATATGGTGTAGCCCCAAATCTGTTCAATGTAATACGTAATGAATAGCACTCTGTCCGTAGGATTTGATGGTTCTCGGCATGCATGGGCTCAACTTGAGATGATTAGTTTTGGTCCAACTTTGCCATGTCCGCTTTTCTGACTCGTTGATAGCCAGTGATCCTTCATTTTCGCACTGCTTCATTGATTGCAGTCAAAATGCTAGGATATATTTATCGATATCATTAAATCTTCCATCAAAGTCCGATATGGTCTAGTGGCTAGGATTTGCCGCTCTCATAGCAGAGTCAGTTCACTGTACAGTGCCGGCAAGGCCCGGGTTCGATTCCCGGTGTCGGAAAACGATCTTTTTGCTCTTTTGGCATCATCCCAGATGTGTAAATGCTTGGTGGAAAGTGTTGGTTTGGCTAAAATGACCAAACCATCATTTTTTGCAAAGTTAACACCCAAAGTTACGATCTCACCTATGCAACTAGCTCACAATTGGTCCACACCAGGAACACAAGACACTTGAGTTCAGGCATTCATATCGTAAACGAGCAGTGTGTTGGCTGCTCTGTGTTGGGTCGAAGGGAGTGAGCACAATTTTAGCCAGACGAACACCTTGCAAAAAACACGAACCCGAGTTCACCTCGTAGCTAGACTGTTCATTATTTCATTGATATAAGGGTATAATCTAGATAATTCAAACATGCTCTATATGCTTCATATTGCCTGTCCTGGGCGAAATTCATGACCAGGACTGGTCCTGCCTGACATGTCCGCGCTTACCCAAACTCTCGACCTCTCTCCGTGCTGGCGGCCGTCATAGACAACAGCGCCCGTCTTTCCGCTCTGATCGCCATACCAGCTCGTCAGGCTGCCGTTTTGATTTGACTGATGGCCCGTTTGCGCACCGAGGGCATTGCTGCGCCTGTTGCCCTGCCACTCCATCTTTATGTCTTCCTTCACGACGATGCGACGTTCCACCAACTCCTCTTCGCTGTCCTCGTCTTCTTCGTGTATAGAACGTGCCCGTAGAGCGTCGTCGTTCCTCGACGGTCGCGAACCGAAGCCAGTGGCTGCCTTTTGGCCTGTCGATTTGCTAGCGCTGTTGGATGCCTGGTGCTTCGAGAGCATAGAGCGCGGAAGGAGGTAGGCAAGGGTGGGAGCGCAAGCTGCGACCAGACTGATGACTATCTCGACCATGATCCATGCCAGAAGAGTCGTGTAGTTCCACAGCGGATCCTTCTCCAAGGTATACTGCGAAACGAGGGTCATTACTGACGCAATGCAGGCGATGAGACCGATGGACAACAGGGCAAAGATGCGGGCCTTTCTCTTCCAGCTCAGCTGAACTTTCCACAATACAATTATCGGGATGGCGAGAGCAGTGAAGTCCAGAGCGAGGTTCAAGCGGAGGATGGTGTTCATGTGATTGACGGACAAACAGTTCGGTACCTTGCCCGACTCGGCGATCCGGAGCAGGTTGAAACTCGCGTACTGAGGGTTGCATTTGAAGACGTTCAGAAACAGTGCTGCGACGGTATAGGCCGCACATGTGGCAAAGAACGCCCAGTTGACGTTCTTCCACAACCGCGTCGTAAGAGTCGTCAATCGGACGTTGAACAAGGCAATGCTCATTTTGACAAGTCCTACATAGACGTAGAATACAGTGGCGGCTGACGGCGCGAGCTACACATCAAGATTAGTTATGCGTGACGGCGGGCCATCAGAGTTGTTCTCGCTCACATATTTGTAATGGAAGTACTCTTGATAGGTGATGTCGTAAAAGTGCTTTCCCGCTCCTCCATGCTGAACCATAGCAATCTGAAGTGCTGGGTATGCCATGGAGAGGAGATACGCTGGAATGATGAGCCAGTCATCGGCACCAAAACGGACCCCATGGACGAAGAGTCGAATGCCCAGTCTTAGGAAGGTAACAACTGTGAGGATGACCATACACACTGAGAGTGCGGCTATGACGGCTGGACCTTTAGTCTCAAAGTGGTAATTGTCTGTTGGACGGAAAGGTGGAATCGTGACTCCATCTTTAGGGTCTTTGATATCAGGAGCAAGGCCGGTAAGAAGTAATAATCCTGCAGCTATCTGCTCGTCGAATTCGTTGGCTGGAGGTGTGTTGAAATAAGCAGACACCATTGTGCTGTGGTTATGCTGGCTCGGCCTGGCGATACCGTACGGTGGGGCAGCACATGGGTTTGGGGCGATTCGGAGAGAGATCGACAGAACAAAACATCAATCGGAGGTATTGGACTTGACTGCCCTTAAGATCTTGCTCAGTCCATTGCCCTGTTTGAAGAATGCAGCTATATCCCACTCCGGGCTACCGGTATAGTGTGAGCAGGGTTGTGTTGTAAACGAGGAGCGGGATGGGCTGACGGGAACCCCAATAAGAAGGTAACTGGCATCATCCTTCCACTCACCCACCGCCCTGCATTGAGGCGCTCGTTCCTACTGACACAGCCTTCTGAGCTCTGGTATCAACCTTGTCGCGTGGGATTGTTACTGAGAAAGCCTAAGTTTCTAGTCAAGTTGATGACAAGAAGATTGGTGCTTGCCACACAAGAGGATGGAAGAGCCGCTGGCATGAAGAGTGCCAACTTTGCAGTTTGGGGTAAGGATTTTGGCCGAGATAAGACCATGAAAGAGTGTCCCGTAGGCTCTGGTGGGTTAGAATCTTATTGGAACGCATTGTCTTGTTAGCATGTCGGTTAGCATGTCCCAAGAGAAGCGTGAGTGGCGCGATATCTCGACACTTCGTATAGGATATGGAGTCGAAACGACAATGCTTTCCCGCTCTGTTAACCGGAACCCTTCTCCATCTTGCATGCGAGGCGTCCGAGGTGCGCGGGAATGGGCTCCACTGGAACTCTTTTGTTTGTGGGCTGACACGCAGGTACAAAGGAGCGAGGAAGCCCTGGAGCTACTCCGGAGTATTTCGGTAGAAACGGGAGACGAAACGATGGTGGTGGCCTGTGCGCCGGATCTTTCTATCGCGAAGGACCAGCCTCTTCGTAATCATGCGACCTGGAGCTTGAACACCCAATCGACATCAACGGGGGACAGGGTCTGTGAACGATATCTCGGTTTCGCAGACTGGGCATGCAGATCCGTGCGACACTGCAGAGGAGAACAGACGTTTGGGTCCGAGAGGAGATCGGGTTCCTCCGTGGACCGGACGATGAGAAAGGCAGCATGGGACGGCACCACGAGGCCGCTTGTAGTAACTAATGTCCGCCACTCTCAGAAGCGCGTCCTTCAGGCTGCTAGAAGCGCGTGCAAGCTGCCGACATGGCTGCGCAACCCTCTTCCAGAATCATATAGGTATAGAAGGTTATGCATAGGACGCGTCGATGGAAAAAATCTCGGCCTAAGCTTCTTCTCTCCTCCTTCTATCGGCGATTCTATCAGTAGCCAAACTTACTTGGTCACGCCATTCGTTTCAGACATCTCGTTTTCACTCGGCCATGTTTTCACGTACCGTTCTCTCGGGTCTGCTGTTGCAAGCATTGCCCTTTCTGACTTCAGCAACCGACTGCACTGGTGTCAATGGCATCAGCCCAAAATGTAGCAGCCAAGAATCTGCGTACAAGCGCGACGTCTTCTACGTCGGCGGTGGCTATGTCGACTCTGGCATCCCAGGCCAGCAAATGTGGAGCGACCAGCTCTATGTCGAGAAGCTGTCGCCTGCCAAAAAGGTCAAAAAGCCTTACCCGATGGTCTTTATCTCTGCGGGTGTCAACACCGGCGCAGAGTGGCTGAATACACCGGACAATCGCAAGGGTTGGGCTTCCTACTACCTTGACCAAGGCTACCAGGTCTACATTGTTGATATCGCTGCCAATGGCCGAAGTGGCCAGCAGCTTCTCTCCAAATACCCTCTCCGCATTGGTTCCACAGACACCATCAATGAGCAGGGCTTCACAGCTCCCGAAGATTTCGACCAGTACCCACAAGCAGACCTCCACACACAATGGCCCGGCAATGGATCTCGTGGAGATCCCGTTTTTGACGCATTCACTGCTGGCAACGTCCCTATCTCTTCATCTAATGTGAACGTGGAAAACACTATGCGTACATCTGGATGCCAGCTCCTCAGCATGATTGGCCAGTCATACACAGTCTGCCATTCTGCTGGTTGCACTTACACAGCCATCTGGTCAGACGCATGCCCTGATCTGCTACGCGCCAACATCAACATTGAGCCCGGCAACATTCCGTTCACTTCTTTGATCGGAAACAACACCGTTGCTGGGGTTGGTCGTACCGCCGCTCGGCCTTGTGGTCTCACATATACACCGCTGCAATTCGATCCACCAGTAACGAACTGCTCGGCCATTACCACCGTTGAGGTTGGGCCAGACGACCCAGCCAAGCGCTCCTGCATTCTCCAAACTGGCACCATCCACAAGCTCACCCAACTCAGTAAAGTGCCTTATATCATGATCACAGGCGAGGCCAGCCCGCATATCACGTACGATCACTGCTTCGTTGAGTACTTCAAGCAGATGGGCATCACCAACTACCAGTGGATCAAGCTTGCCGATATCGGTATCAAGGGCAATGCGCACTTTATGTTCCTGGAGAAGAACAACCAGGATATCGCCGCAGCGATCAACTACGGTCTTGGAAAGATGAATAAGAGCCCGGCTGCCCCAGGTCATCCAAGTCTTCCCATCTCTGCAAAATGAGAGATGTAGCTTGCGATGACTGCCAATAGCGATCATAACCTCGAATGTAGTCTGGATGGCGTATTAAATCCAAAAGTCAAGTAGACCATAATATCTAAAGTAATCATGCATCATGAACCGATTCTAAAAAATTCATGGACGTGAATAATTCATCAGTAACTAAGAAGGATCGCTTCGTAAACTCATCGCTCAAGCCAACGCACCCATTGGGTCCCACAGCTCTAGCATCCTCGGCTTCTGCTCCAGTACCTTCTTGACCGACGAACTGACAACGCTAGGATCAACGACCGCCTGGTACACGAACTCATCCATCCAAGCATCACTCATGACAAAGTAGCCTTTGTCGCCCGCACGCTCGCTCCACGAGTTCTCTACCCTCCAGCGTACAGGCTTGCCATCAACGACATGCACAGCCGTCAGGACCATAGCATGCGTCATCTGGCTCTCGCCAGTTTGTAGGCGTTCCGCCTTGGACATGCCAAGCTTGATGTTAAAGCCCAGCTCATACTCGAAGAGATCCGTGTCCATGATGCCCTTGGTAGAATCGGAATACTTGCCCACGTCTGAGCCGAAGAACACAGGCATGCCACGCTTCAGCATAGTGATGCAGGCGTCTTTGATTGTCTTCATGTCGACATTTACGTAGGTCACTGGTCGGCCGTTCCAGACGTTGCCCAGTCGCTTCACGCTAAGCAGACGGTTGTAGGGGTTGCGAGGGTCATTCACGAGCGAGAAGAGTGAGTGGACGTCAGTTCCAGACAATGCTCGTACGGTTTTGTTGTCGGAGAGCTCATTTGCAAAAGCAGTGGGTCGCGTACGGACAGTGCAGAACTTGCCGTCCTTGTCGTAGTACTCCCAGGTGAAAAGCTTGGTGGAGCATGGTGGGGGACCAAGCATCAGTGTCAGAATCAAGTGGATCTCACGAAGCATCTTTTCCTTCTCTCCAGCGATGGTCGCCTTGATGGCATCTGGTGTAGCGTTGCTGCGGGCAATAGAACGTAGACGGACTGCATCTTCGCGCAGCTTGGTGGTAATCAGACGGTCCATAGTCGATGAGCTGGTTGCGTTGTAGGAGTCTGGGTACAACGAATGCGGCACGAGACCATACTTTTGTACGAGGTTGGCCACCATATCCCATTGTCCACCATCACCGACGGGGCTAGCCATCAGTGCCTGTATGATGCGACTGTCAATCTCCTCATCCTTTGTATCCAGTATGCTTTCGAGGAAGTAGTTTGCCTTCTCGATCTTGTCCCAGTAGAAGAGGTACGACTGGGAGAGCTGGAACTCTGACAGCTTGTACTTCTTCATGATGGCGACACGGAAGACGTTGGTGGATGCGAAGAGCCAGCATCTTCCGGACGAGGCTTGGTTTGTGACGGGCGAACCCTCGAGAGGGATCTTGATGTTGAACTTCTGGGTGTCGGCGATGACAGCTGATCGAGACGAAAGCACGGCGTTGGCAGAGTTGGAGCTGAGGGCTGCGAGGGCAAGACGGTTCTACCGGAAGTCAGTAATGAACATCACAGGGACTGGATGTAGTACCTTTGGGTCTTCCATAAGCTCCTTCTCCCATTCAGACACTGTTGCTGCAGAGACATCCTGCTGGTACTTGACGCCAGGCGTGTACTTGGGTGCTTCGATAAGTCAGACTTATTCTAAGAGTATGAACAGGAGACAACCTACGGGATTCTCCACCAACAACTACAAATCCATCCTTCTCATTCATGGGTCGTTCATCTTTCATGTGGAGGGCCTGGAGTCGCTCCATCAGCTTCTCGTTAACAGCAGCATCGGACGGTCGTGACTGGTTAGCGCCCATGATGAAGATGGAGAAAATGCTTCTAGAACTATCGTGGAGCTCTTGATCTAACTAAGCTCGAGAGCAAGCTGGTGTTGTAGTCCGGGGAAGCTCCAGTTGTCCATCAAGGTATCACTCGTTATCGCGCTTATCGGGCGGGAGCAACGCGTGCATGGGTCGCGTGGCAGCCCCACTCCGATCAGATGGCTGGACTCGTTGGAGCGGAAAGTGCCCGCCTTCCATACCTTCCACATTTGACCCATCTGCATCGAAGCATGATGCTTACATGCGAGGCAAGGCCGACTTGTGCAGTGCTCAGTGCTCAGTGCTGCGTCTGTGCTATGTGCTACACCCATAGCCTGGGTGCCTCAGCCACCTTGAACATCGCCTCAGGACCCCACCCATCTCCACAGACCCTGAAACTCGTGACAGCCGTTTTGCTCTCTGGCAGGACAACGATACCGGCATCGCACCATTATAGACACTCACAACCCAAAGCCCCTTTCTCCCTATGCGACAATCACGCATAGATGACGATGCAGCCGCCTCATCGGCCCCCAACAGGCGCGGAAACTAAAACAGGCAAATGAAGATGTACAGGGCCGAACGCGTGTTTCATCCAGGCGCGCAAGGCGTCCCCTGAGTTTGCGCCTCACAGCCGCCGCAGCTTGAATTTGCGCCGAAGATACCAAAATTTCTTGCGCTCAGCCTTGATCAAGAGAATATATACCTGTTTAACTGTCTTCTCGCTGTCCACATCTTCCCTTGTATCCAACGGCCTTCGAGCAACACAGTCTGCATCACCACATCACCATGGCGCAACGACCGGTATTTTGGCAGAAGCGCGTTCTCGTGCCCTTCTGGATAGTGCGAATATGTATCATGATCTTGATCATTGCAGCATATGGCTATTCCCTACGGACTGTGGATGAACTAAAGGATGTCATCCAACCATCAACTGGGTAAGTTGCATCAATATGAGCGCATGTGCAGAGACTAACAGCCAACAGATCAGTCGTTGTCTTCATGCTCTTCATCGTCATTGTGCTCCTCATCGACATTCTTGCGATCATCATGTTCCTTGGCGACAAGCTGAAACCAGGCACTTTCCTCACCATGAACTGCTTCCAAACTGGGTTCTGGACTGGCGTCTTGATCATGGACTTTGTTGCCATAGGCCAGGGCGCCAGCTCTGTAGGAATTGGATTCAGCATCTTCGTATTGTACGTTCAGAGTCTGGCGAGATTGTGTGCAGCACTGACATATCCCAGCCTCACCTTCCTCGGTCTCCTCATCTACGCCATCGTCGGGTACCGTCGCGCGAAGAAAGAAGCCCAACGGGGCCAGTATGCGCCAGCGCATAACCCATTGGCGGCGGCGGCGGCTGCACAATCGTCCCCGTACAACAGCGTCCCCGAGTACCAACAGAATACCGCATACCATTCGCAGACACAGCCTGATATGCACAACCAGTACCTTCCACCATACCAAAGTGGTGCTGCGACGGACTACTACCAGCAGCCTGTGAAGCCCGCCCACATTGTGTGAGCGAAGGAGACGGAAATGACGAGGTTTACAAAAGGCGTTTTGGTGAAATAGGAAAGGTCAATACCACGGTCAAATGGTGTTCCGGTCTACGTTTTCACATGTTGCATGCTTCCATGACCGGAAATCGGTCTAGAGAACTTGATCGTCACGAACGATGGTAGTGATAATATTAGTGAGGGACGGGCCGTTAGATTATTGCGCACTCGCGCCGGACCTGTCCCATTCGGCAGGTGTAGGAATGACACCCTGAAAACTATCGATTCATGTACCAAAGACTTCCTCAGACACCGAAAATCCGTGAATGATACCACAAGTTACTCGCACGTGCGAACGGAAATCGGAGGCTCCTGCCCGTTCGAGAGGCTCCTGCCGAGGCACTAGGCTGGTCAGGAGACGGCACCTCCGCAAGGCTTGGAAGTGTCTCCGTTTCGGAGGTCAGCAACCACTCACAGCTGCAAAGCCGACATTCACATCATGTCGCCGCCATGGTCATTTATGCGAGGAGCAATCACATCGCTGTTACCGGCACGTTGCGACTAGAAAGTGGCGTGTGCCATGGCTGTGTTCCTGACTTCTGCAGTGTCTGTTCGCCTCCGGCGTACATTATGCGTGGAACATTAGCGGTAGATCAGAGACTGGGGACGCAGCGGTTGGCTCAAGGATGAATAGGAAGGATGGTGTTGTTATAAACATCATGCGCCGTCTGTTTGTTTCGCACAGGTCTCAGGTCTCTCAGTCGAACACATTCGCTTCATCTTCATTCTTCCAGTCAGGATGCGATCATTCTTGCTACTCGCTGCGGCGGTTCCTTTCGCTCAAGCTGTTCGCATCGTGCAGTCAAATGACGATGGATGGTCAGAGGCAAACATCCGTACCTTCTTTGACGTCTTGAACTCTGCTGGCCACGAGGTTGTCCTGTCTGGTCCTGCTGAGAATCAGTCTGGCAGAGGTTGGTAGTCGAGTCATGAACACTATACACATACTGACCTATATCAGGATCATCCGACGAACCCCCGAAGACTGTTGATTCAGACGGCTGCATTCATGCATCCTGCCCAGGTGGAAGCCCGCCCACAGGTGCAAATGCGACAGACCCTCGTTTGAACTACGTGAACTCGTTCCCGGTTACTTCTATCAAGCAAGGCATCGATGTCACTGCGCCTAAGCTCTGGAACGGCGCAAAGCCCGAACTCGCTCTGACCGGACCGAATGTCGGAAGCAATGTTGCTGTTCAGGTGCCCTTCTCCGGTACCGTCGGCGCCGCTACATATGCGGCAAAGACGGCCCAAATCCCAGCTATCGCCTTCTCTGGTCAGTCTGGAGATCCTACCGCATGGAATGCTCCTACACCTTTCCACAGCAAGATCTACGCTGATCTGGCTCTGAACGTCACCACCACCATCATCAACAGCGGAAAGCCCTACCTCCCAGCGAACACCTACTTGAACGTCAACTTCCCCTCTGTCTCCGAGACCAAGTGCAGCGATCCCAGTCAGTTCAAGTACATCTTTACTCGCATCAACACTGGTCTTTTGAGTGCTCGCGATGCGGACTGGTGCGGTAGCACGCGCCTTCCGTGGGAGGCGGACGTTATCTTGATTCGAGGAAGCGACTGCTACGTTACTATCAGCCCTGGTGATGCAAACGACAAGACGACCATAAACGATGCTGCGGTCCAGACTCAGATCATCAACAAGCTCAAGCCGATCTTATCGTGCTTGCCTTAGAAGAGAGATGATGGGGATGGCAAAGGTTAGCTCGGCTGTGTCTGGAGCTCTAATGACACTCGATAGTACGACGAATGATAGCATCTCAATACTGATCCTCATCTATTGTTACCAACAGTCACTGTGACAATGACTCCCCATAATGTGACTACAACGAAAACACGTGAGTTGGATGACTCATTGGTCACCTTGTAGTGTAGGAAGCTATCATTTACCATGCAACAACCAACGGTTCCAACACAAACACACCTGATCAACCATGTCCGATTCTCTCAAAGGTACTGAGATGTCGGCAGACTTTGCTAAACCCCAATCGCTAGCTTCGCGCATGAAGTCATATGAATCGCATTTCGACCATACCCTCCCTCTGAACCAACCCATCATCCTCCGTCTAGACGGCCATGGATTCTCGCGCTTCACGTCACACTTTGCGCGCCCCTTCGACGAGCGCATACACACTGCGATGATATCAGCCTGTGCTGATTTACTTCACTTCTTTCCCCGCGCTACAGTCGCATACACGCAGTCCGACGAGATCACCCTGATCTTTCCGGAAGGCGTTCAGATTTTCAACGAAAGAGTGCAGAAGCTATGTAGTCTGAGTGCGAGTTATTGCTCGGTGCGATTCAACAAGCATCTCGCGGAGGCGCTGGATAAAATGCCGGAGCCGGCAGTCAAGGGCAACGTGGAGAAGGTACTAGGTATAGCGCATTTCGATGCGCGTTTCTTCCCCGTTCCTTCTGTAGAGGAGGCTCTCAACAACCTCATATGGAGGTGTCGCAATGATGCTGTACGGAATGCTGTGTCTGCTTTTGCTCGGACTATGTACTCAACTAAGGAGATGAATGGCAAGAAGACGCGGGAACTCGTTGAAATGATGTTGGAAGAGAAGGGCGTTAAATTCGAGGAGGCGGTGCCGAAATGGGCGATTGAGGGCTGTTTGCTGAAGAGAGAGCAACATGAGCATGAGGGTGTAAATCCAAGGACTGGAGAGGTTGAGAAGACGTTTCGGACAAGGCCGCGAGTAGAGGTGAGGGGCGTGAGGGTATTTGGAGATGAGGGATTAAAGCTAGTGACAGATAAATATTGGTAGAGTAGTTCTGGAGGTATATTCGCTCTACAACGTAGCAGCGAGGTTACGGTTGTGTTATGTAGAAATCACTCTATGGGAAGCGCTCATCCAACAATATACCATCTGTGTGCAAATAAGCAGTTCTTCGTAGACTGAAAAAGAAAAAAAGAACATGCACCCACTCACTACCCGAGTAGGGACTTATTCTAGGAGAGGCACAAAATTCAGCAAAAAAGAAGATGGGGCCTGACCGGGATTCGACTGTTCGCTTATTAGTCAAGCGCTCAATGTCGAACCGTGATGGATGAACTTACACCCGGGGCCTCCTGCAGAATAGGCGATGTGACGATGTCAACCCAAAGCAGGAATCATACCACTAGACCATCAGGCCGATTTTGCTCTAGAGAGCTGATTGATGAAAAGAGGTAGCAACCTATATCTTATATCGCGCGTGAACAATTTTTGACGGCTGCTCTGCATGCGGGGCGCAGGATCGTGTATGTGGAGCGAGGGGCTGTGTGCGCAGTAGTGGACACCCTTAGCGAAACACGCCGCAGAGTCATCCACTTCGCGTCCTTCCAATCGCTACTGCTGTGAGCCCGGCCTTTGGCGCTGAAGGTCAGAGGGCGTTACTCTGCACGATGGGTTTTATTGCTCCCCATAATGGACACCCTTCCACTTATGGTGGAGCCCCGCACGAATACACATGAACTACCAGGCTACTGATGATATCAAAACTCGGGCTTGTATATCCTCAACTCGATGGCCGCAATACCCGAATCGCAATTTGAAGGTGGGTCACATGGAGAGGTGTGCTTCTACTTTCGGTGTAGGCGCTATCCATAGCCTCGATGCCTCCCTCATGGTTTTGCGTGTTTTCCACGGCTTTCGAGCAACACAAATCTACGACAGCCATATCGACATCTGCGTGACTTTATCAGAGATTTGTACATGCGAGCGAGGAAGGACTGCATGGAGTGATTGTGGCGACGATCCAAGCGCGAACCCCGACATACTACGTGAAGCATTGCAAGGTTGTGTTTTAGAAGAAACAGAGGCGCAAACATGAACGCACTAATGTAGGATTTTTGGTTTTTGGATGGTAGAAGAAGAGTACCAGGTGCAAGAATACCAAGGAGTAGTAAAGGATGCTTTATATCCTCCTCACCGATCACCTCAATCTCTCATGATCGTAGCCGAAGTGCATGCGACCATTCGGAGTCCTCCACCATGACTTGAGAGTTTTGAAGCGACGACCAGCTTTGGGTGGACATGGAAACCACATTAATAACTTTTGAGATACAGCTCATGGTGTTTTCAAAACACGTGCGCATCTGTGTTCGTGACTTTCAAATTATGGTCCTAGCACTTGGTTTCCGAAGCAGAGCTTTGTATTCACATCGCTTCGTGTGGATCCTCATGTCAACTGCTTGTTGAACTTTATTTTCACAAGCATGAACCGAAACAATAGGTTTTCCCGGAAGGTCCAGCGGCCCACATTCGGGTTTCAGCATGTTCTTTTGATGAAATAGCCTAGTAGATGATAGATGTGTAAAGAAGGCAAGTTATTGTCAGAAGAGTAACCAAGTCTTATATACCCGTCGCTCAAGCTGCGAAGACGACGCCTTCAAAAAGATGTATCCGAGACACATGTGCAGCCGATATTAATTAGCTCTTCAGAGCAAAATCGGCCTAATGGTCTAGTGTTATTATTCCTGCTTTGGGTTGACATCGTCACATCGCCTATTCTGCAGGAGGCCCCAGGTGTAAGTTCATCTAAAAGTGCAGCCGATAGTGGTTTCACAGGTGCTCGTCGCCTACAGAAGTTTTCTTGAGAAGGAAGATCGGATAACATGACGATACGTCAAACTCGTTTTGAACCACAAGCCGTTTGCTCAACTTGCTTCTACCAGCTTCGGTATCTACACCGAAATATCCTCGTACATCCATGTCTCGTCAATCTTTCCACGTTCCGCAGTCTGCGCTCCCGCATACAAGCACCGCTTAATCTCACCATCTTCAAATACAGGCACAACGTCCTTCTCCACAACCATCATCGCCCACATAACGATCCTTGCACCTAGATTCTCCGTACGACCATTGATGAAAACAGGGGTTGGATCATCAGCAGGTTGATTGACAAATGTCATACCCAAGTCGTCCAGCGCATCCGTTGGTGCGGCGTTCGCTTCGGTGGAGGGAAGCTGCACGAAATCGCCGAGATTCTCGTCGATGAAGGTGTACGTGTCTACGTCTTCAATACCATCTTCTAACGCGGGAAGTGCATGTTTTGAACACAGGTTGCGCACTAGAGTCAATGTCTTGATGTCGGATGTGTCTTGTGTGGTCAACATCAACGACACCAGGACAGTGAGCAGCATCGACCACTGCAAACCTTCATTCTGTGAACCCTGTATGCCATGTCGATCGAGTGCGCTCGAAAAGGTCTCGGCTGATGCAGGCAGATCGGCCCCGAAGGTTTTGAGCATGTCGGACAAGCTGTGCAAAGTGCGAACGGGACGTTCGGAATCCGAGACGCGAAGCTTGGCAATCGCAGCCTTCAGCTCTTCCCGAACCGAGTGGATGATCCTAGCCTGACTGTTGCGATAGATTTTCGCGTACCTTTGCTTATCGTTTTGCGGTTCCTGCTGAATTTGAAGTGGGAGAGTGCTGCATCTCTGCTCCAATGCCTGGTGTAAGAGCACTAGCACTTGCAGGGTGATCCTGCCTCCTGGTCGTGCAACATCAATAGTGCTTACGTCCAACTCGGATGTTATGACCGTCTGTATGAAGAAGAAGTGAACGATGTAGGGGGGTATGCCACGGAAGAAAGGTACGTGGTTTTCGTAACGGCCGAATGGATGACCCTTGGCGCGTAGGAAGTGCTGTTCCTTGTTTGGGTCTGTGGCTAGAAAGTCTTTTGACATGCCAAAAGGCACGTTCTCAGGATTCAACAAACCCAGCTGTTGTGCATATTGCTGCAGCTGTGGTTGGAACGCTAGTTTCAAGGCGAACTGCTCAATGGGATTTTCTTCTAGGCAGAAGCCATACCCAAGAAGCAACTCATCATTCTGCTTCGGCGCGTAGTTATTAAACAGCTCTTGACCAGCCTGGAAAGACTCGCCTTCAAGACACTTCAGTGTAAACGACTGGTGAGGCTGGAAGTCCCATTCTACCTTTGCAGAGACGGAATGATTGAGAATGTCCACCACCGGAAAGAGGATGGGAATTGTCTCACATCCGGGTAGGATGTGTGTCGAGATGAACGCTCGCGAAGTAAAGATAGTGGCTGCCCAAAGTAATGATTCGCTGGTGATCGTTAGCAGGCTGCACCAGGTAGCCAACGTACGGATGTCGCAAATCTAGAGTGTTGGCAGCCAAAAGCAACACTGATAGCTAGGTGTATGGGTTCAGATAAACGGTAGAGCTGATGCTCAATGTACATGCACGCTAGACAGCACATGACGTGTAGTAAATACCATTCGCTGGAGACTTACAGATCAATCTCGTCAGCAAGAGGCATACCAAGTGCTTTCATAACAGCCACGGCATTTTCCCATTGGCGCTCCAGCTCAGCCTTTCTCTCTTTGGTCGCAGGAGCTAGACTTGTACCGGCGAGAAAGGCCACATCGCTCTCATCAAACCAGAGAGGTGTGGTCATAGTTTCAGGCCCAGGTAAGCAGGAGATGTACGCATGCCAAGGCGACTTCTCACCCTTCTTGCGCTGTTCAATCAACAACAGATACGTCAGAACGTGATCCGGAATTTTCCCTCGACATTGTTCTAAAGGGCTTTCAGCGTACAAGACCTCTTTCTCGTTTGGGTCTAGGTTGAGAGAAGAGAGTGTGAGCTTCAATGGACATGAAGCCACGACGGTGGAGCTCAGTGGCCTAGCAGCGCGCATGTGAAAGCCACGCGAGTCGCTGAAGACGATCTGGACATCTGGACTGAGCTGACCCCCATTCTGCGTGAACCAGGTAACGAGGCTCTCGGCTGACGGGTGAGAGCCGAAATCCTGGCCTGACATTTGGTCCATTAGAATTGCAGTTGATTTGAAAAGTAGCAAATTCTAATCCGCTGACGTAGCAGCCTTGATTGTCGGGCGTTCTCTAGCGAATTTTTGGACAAAAATACTCTTTACGCACGCAATGCCTTCCGATTTGGATTTGTTTGTATCTCGGAAGTTCGGTTCGTCCGACTGCGCGAAGATGATGTGTGCAATCCAGCTGACGCGAGCTCGGTCTCGGTGAAAAATTGGCGGCGCGGCATGCGGAGCACAACGGAACCGACGGTCTGAAGCGAGTAGGCTTGCAGAAAGATCGTGAAGTGTAGCGGGTCGTGCAGCCAGAGGTGCAGCACGGCGTAGTGGTGTGTGAATTTGTCGGTGAGGTAACGGCTAATCCAAAACCCCTCGCAAAAAGTCATGGTAGAGTTTGCGTAAGCGTCGATTGTAACAGGCTGGCCCTGTATAGCAGAGTCGGAGTACCAGACAGGACGCCTGGTCATGACAGCATCCAAGCTTCACAAGCTTCATATCATCTGCGGTCGGCTCCTACAAGAATGCTTCAACATGGAAACTGATGTTGATGTTTGCTGTGGCTTGAGTGGCAGTGGTGCTCGGCGCAAATATCGCAAGGCTGGCCAATCACAGCGCTCCTCGGTCTGCATCGTATACGAATACGCCGTGCATTGACTGCCCAGAGCTTCCTCAGAAGGTTCCATGGTCACAGTGCCGCATGATCAATCTTAAGATGATGAGGTATTCGGATCCCTGCGGAAATGTGTCGTTGCTGCTCTCACCCAGATCGACAGCACGAACCAAAGTGAGACCTAGACAATCAGCGGTATACCTGCTAACTATGACTACGAGTAAGCAGCCCCCCAGCTTTGTCCGACGAAGCCGAGTAATCTGTTTCCGATGAAGCAAAAAGAGGGGCCAGTAGCGAGGATGCATGATGTGCACGATGGGCCAATGGTTCTGGCCCCTTGCCGGATGCGGCTTTGCTGGCGTCCCTGCGCCAACGGGACGGACGACGGTTGACATTACCGGCGTTTGGAGCCTGTGTGCCTTGTGCGTCGACGATGCGGACGTAAAGTAGAGCCATGCCCGGCTGATGAATGACCTGACGAGGGGCCCGTCTAATGGCTTCTTTTTTGTTCCCATTTTCGCTCTTTGAAAAGTGTCTACGTCCGCTTGCTGAAACATACAGCTGTCCATGGTCAGGCTATAGGGAGTGATTGGCTAACTTATTCCCTGCATAAACTCAGCTCCTCTAGTTGTGGCTTGTAAGTCAGCCCCAGTTGTGGTAGTGGAATTGCGCTTGAGGGGCACGACCTCCAAACTTCAGCGCACAGCCCTTGGGTCCCGCCCTCATAAGATGATGGCGTCCCATGCGGCGGCGCGGATTGCGCCTCCATTTTCGCTGTATTTCGATTCTGTGCTGACTGGTATTTCAGCATGTCACACCTGGATTGAGTGCTGGAGCAATGCTGCTGGACATGTTGACCGCCGATGCCGCCAAACACGGCCATGAGAGCGCACCACCGCGTGCAGCCTCGCCCACGAGCAACGGCTCCTTTCTCCAGATGCCACTTTCCATTTTAGGTTCAGTCTTGCGCGGACAAACTCCTTCACCGTCGCAGGCGACCTTAACTTCTACACACACCGACCCTACAATCGATACCCCTGACACGCCAACGCCGACCTCGCATAGAGATGCGATGAAGATACAGCTTGACGAACCTATAATCACCTTCGTTCCTTCACCTTCACGGCCGGTTTCCTCCGGCAGCGACGGCACCGCAGAGAAGCCGAAGAAGCGGACTCCTCGTTCGAAAACATCCTACAACATCGCCCGACCCGTCAACACTCGCTCAAAGCTACATGCACGCCCCAAGGTTCTCCTACAGTTACATCAAGTCATCGCTTCGCAACGGCCAAAGCCTGCGTACGAAGTCGTTCCTTTCTCAGTCCTTCCCCAGCGAATCTCGAAGCGTCTTTCACGGAGCTTTAACACCAGGGAAAGATTAGGGCCACATGATCTCTTTATTGTTCAGGCAGAGGAATACAACAGCCATGATGACGAGAGCAAGTCGGAAGAGGAGCGATGGGGCTCGCGCGACGTGATCGGCGTCATCAGCGCACAGAAGTGTGACAAGGGCATCACCGAGACCACGGAGATTTGTATGAAAGACGGGACGAGTCGCTGGGCGGTAACTGATATGCCCAACGGAGGCTACGAGTTCAATAGCACTGACGAGCATGGCCTAACGCTGAAGGCGCGTTGGGTGTTGAAACCAACTCATTCACGCCGTACGTCAAGCATGACTGCAAACACACCCCTCTCGCCATCACTCCCAGAGGCCGACGACAGGAAGTTTACGTTCAGTACCTTGAGTGTTAATTCCAGGCGCCATCCTATCATTGCGACAATGACCCGCAATCGCATAGATGTCATGGATACCTACGCTTTGCCATCTGCTGCCTCGCCGTCAACGCCTAGCATGGCCTCTTACACTCAGTCGCCTACCACGGACGTTTCCAGCATCGATGCCAGCAACTTTGTGGAAACCTTGACAGAGAAGCTGCCTACCGAGACCGGCGACGCACTTCGACAATTCATACTGGCTTCCGGTGTCTGGGTTGCCGCCAAAGAATTCACGACAGAGGGACCCAACTTGTTCTCGTCTCCAACCCTAGCTCCCTGTGCCACCTTCCGGCCAAACACCAATCGCACGTTCTCAATGTCGATCCTTGATTGTCCTCGCTCGCCGTCCCCAGCTTCGACACTCGACGAGAAGCGCCGCTCGATCCCTCGAATGTTCAAGCCTAGTTTGGAAAGACTACCTCGTCGCACGACAAGCTTCACTGATGCTCCTGCTTCTCCTGCTTCTACCAAGACGGCAGTAAACGCTTCTCCCGTGACCGTTGTGAAGACACGAGCGCGACGTGCCAACTCGACTGGCACTGCTATGCATAGTATTTCAGGCAGCATGAGGAAGAGATACGGACTTACCTTCGAAGATCAAACACTCGCGGAAACCGCAGAAGAGCGCACTATGAAGCGCAGCGTGGAGCTACTTCGCATTAAGGAACTACAACTGCCCTCACCTATAGAGCGACCTTCTGCTGAATCCACCCGGCCACTCCCTCCTGCTATACCATCCCCAATCGTCATCCCCGCGTCACCCCAAGGCCCGACTTCGCCCACACCGCTACTCGCCTCTCCTCTCCTCTCACCGGCCATGCCACAAATCGAGCGTTCCAGAAAGACACAGTCTGCATACGCGCCCATCACCACGACCGGCATGTGGGATTCTGGAGTCACAGAAGGCCCCGGTCTCAAGAAGCGCCCCACAAGCATGTTCGTCATGAACGAAAAGAAGCGCAAGCAAGAGAAGAAGGTTGAGCGCAGTAAAAGCACGAAAGAGAAGAGCAAAGCTAGCGAAGAGAGTAACGAAGGTCTCGGTCCTAAGAGCAGGAGGAAGGGCGATTGGTACATGTACAAGATCAAACTTCGCCTCAAGGACATCTTTAAGAAGGACAAGGCTTGATGTGGATGTACTTCACAACACTGTTTTCTGTTGTTTTCTCCTTGCACCACTGGGTCGGTATAGCATCGCTGGGCGTTTTATCTTTGGTTACACTCAAGGCTGGACCTTTTGCGGTCTCACGTCACCACTCCTTGGATCCATTTCTTTCTCTTCTTGTACATACTACATATCTCCTACGCTAGACTCTGGTTTCCTCTTCATCTGAATTTGTCCTGTCTATACCCATTTCTATCCGCACCCTACTTGTTTTGGGTAGCTCAATGAAGGTTCCGTTTTCTTCTGCTGATTTGAATTGCTCCGTGTTGATGCTCCGCGTTGATGCTCCGATCGGCCGTAACTCATGGATGATCCGTGTCGCACCACCCCCTTGCTAGTCTCGGGATCTTGCAGCAGTAGCTTGTGAGAAAAATGAACAGTATGGATCGTGGCTTCGGCGTGATAGAGTCAGCATGTGATGGTGCAGACACCATTACTATTCTCAATATGGCGTGTTCACCGCTGAAGGCCGTCGGCCGAGATGGCTCACCAAGCTAAAGTTGGTCGGCGAAGATGAGAATCACTACAATTTAGTACAATGCGCCACAATCTTTTCGTGAATAGAGCTGGACTTGCGAGTGGGGTAATCTTCGTTGTTATGTGGCCCTTGTGTCATTGCGAGAGCCATGGACAGATGTGCTTGTTGGGAATGTTGCCGTATACGACATAATTTTGAAGCAAGAAAAATTCAGAAATCGTCCATGTAGTACACAACATGGATATTATGTCTAGAATTGTTTTGTGTCTACACGAGCTGCACATCTGACATCCAAATTGCAGCAAAGATTTGGATTATGATAGCCATGGATCGATCTACAGCATAGTTCCCAGAGCCTCCTATCAGACTAGTCTTTACTGTGCCCATTGCCCTTCCTCCATTCCAGGATTATCGACAACCACCCAATCCTCGTCATCATCAACCTTCTCCCACCCCTCTTCATCAGACTCCAGACTCAGCTGCTCGAGCCCTTTCCGAGGTATATTGGGCTTGTCGATCGCCAGCCATTTCTCACACTTCACTTGAGAAGCCTTTCGTCTGGAAGCTATGCGCTCTGGGTAGCTTATCTCTGGCGTGGACTGCGTTGCAGATGGAACACTGGCAAGTGCGGATGGAAACCTGCGGTAGAAAGATGGGTGTATTTCCTGAGTTTCCTGGTTGATGGGTGCAAGTACCCTTGGAGACGGGTTGGTATTTGAAGAAACGTACGCCCATTGCCACGGCGATGCAAGGCGGGGTGTAGGTAGCCTTGACGTAGCTGAACCTGGCATGTAGGATAGTTTTGAAGAAGACGATTTGACTGCACAGTGTACAGGCTCTTTTTGTCGTACTTGTCGGCGTCTAGACATCCCAAGGGGCATCTGTGGAGCACCCTCAGGACATGTTGTAGATGGCCAGGTTGAAAAGTCCATCTTGGTTTTTGTGTCGACTAGGAGGTTGTGGGAGTCGTAGTCTTGAAGTGTGCGTGGGCTGGTAAAGGCAATATAGTCTACCTTATCGTCGAAGATTGTGAAGATGGAAGTTGGTGTAGAAAGTAACTTTGGAAAGATACGAAAGTGTCTAAAGTCCAGCGAAGAGCATGTTCGATCCAAGAAGCGTATCAAGCGACGCATATTAAGACTTTGGATTAATGTCAGCAACATGGTAACCATATACAAAATTGGGGTTCATTACCTTGGTTCTGGGGGTAAGCGACCATCTGTACCCGTTGTATTGCTTGACCATGATCTTGTGGGAATCTTATTGGATCTCAGACACGTACATATTACTGCAACACCCAAGAAATAGAGCAAAGCCCTTCTTACATGCAACGGAGATTGGCTGCTTATGTAAAGTTATCGCATTCCTCTTCTCCGCCATGGATACAGCCATAACTCTCGACAATATGCAACCATGGTGTCCGAGATGGAATCTACATGTACTCTAGCGCGAAGACGCGACTGAGCGGTAAATGTGAGGATGAACACGACTTAAAGGTAACTAATCGATAGGCTGAAGCGACGCAGCAGCGACAAAGACAGCCAGGTGGTCAGTGTTCAACGGCTACAGGCGATCGTCTGGCGGGCCTTTGCCGTGTGCTATACTTAGCCACCACCATCACTTATGGAGCAGAAAAGATGCAAACCATAGATATGCTCAAGAGCAATCACACAGAGGACATTGAGCGAGAAGGAAACTCAGTGCTTCAGCTAGAGGTATGATGCAAGTGTCGTCCCAAAAGGGAGAGGTCGGTCTTGGCGGCGCTATGGCCAGCGCGATGGGCGGCCCACTCGATTGTTTGGATTCGTCCCGCGTCACAACATTGAAGGTCCAACACCCCAACGCCCCGGACGACAACCCCCCCCCCCCAGGATAGCCCTTTTTGCCTTTGGCGCTGCTATTCACGACTGATCCATTTCAAGACGACATGCGTAGCTAACCCAGACGACACTCGACCTTACCCGGAACGCGACTGCTAGCACCGCGACGCGCCTACTACTACACGCCCTCACCGCACCGCACCTCACCGCACACATTCGACATGGCTGCCCGCAGCAAGGCACCCACCGTTGGGTCCGCTGGCTGGATCCTCGAAGAGCGCCACCAGTCCAACACGCTTGTATCCCAGGAATTGGAGGATTTTGGCTTCTCTGTGCGCAACGAGCTGGAATGGCTCAATGAACACATGTTCGATATTTTGTCAAGCGACAGACAGTATGTCGCGTCTACCTCGCGCCGACGCCCATCACACTGACTTTCCGGTAGACACAACCTCGATGTCTTCAAGACACCCGGCAAGTTACGCGGCAAGACGCCTCGTACCGCGCGAAAGAAGGCTGTCGATCGCCAGGTAAGAGTTTTGCCTGCGCATTTCGTCCCGTACTAACATTCCGAAGCCTCTCGCCAGCATACAATCTGCAAACGCGCAGAAACGCACAAGCGCCGCCGAAGAGAGTCTAAGAAACGTCAAGGCTAGATTCCAGATTGCCGAAGACGCCGAGAACACAGTACGACAGTCGCCCCAAGTCGCCCGCACACCTATTGCGCGACAGCTGTTCGCTAAGCCCGAGAGCGCTGGCAAGGAGAATGTCGACAGTAGCTTCCACGCCAATGTATTCGAGAAGCGCCCAGCACAGTCTCCCGCACCAGCATGGAATCCCATTCAGTCCTCACAAGACACGGTAATGTCTTCAGAAGCCAGCCAAGTCTTCTCGCCGCCACAGAGCTTCTCGACTCAGCCCACACAGCCAGCCCAGTCCTTCCGTCATTCGATACACGACAAGGAAGAGGAGCGCGAGACTGGCGATTCTTTTGTTTCAGCTAATGAAGGTTTCGCAAGCAAGAACGCGTCTAGGGACGCCTCGAAGACAAAACATGCAGATGTATCTGCCATGAGTGTGGACGACGACGAGTACAAGGCTGACCACTCGCGAGACGAGGCTGATGGTACCATGATTCACCACGACATTTCTGATGGAGAGGACCACGACATGGAGGACGAGGATATGGCCGATTTCCCCGAACCACCACACGTGGGATCCGAGCAGTACAGCACCTCTGCTGAAACCCACGACGCGCTCGACACGGCGAACAATCGCACTCTGGCCCCCGAGCCCAAGACCACATATGCTCCTGACCACTCAACAACACCGTCAGGCCCGCCGCCCGCATCTCCCGAAGCCGAAGTCAATGATACGCTCATCCACCATGACGTAGACGACGAAATGGACGTTGACGATGACGTGCGCTCGCCTTCAGACAACTCCAGCCCCGTAAAGCCGCTCGTTAGGAAGAGCAGTCTTACTTTCGCTTCTCTGCCCGCACGCGAGCCGTTGCTTCCGAAGAAGAGCATGGGCAATCGCGTGTCACGCATCAGTCACCTCGACCAGAACAAGGGTCGCAACAGCCACATGGGTAGGTTTACAGGAGGAAAGAGCCTTGGAGGCTCACAGCTTGCACATCCGGCAGAGACGCAACATGCGGACGACATGGACGTCGATGAAGACCGACCGGAGCTCCAGCGAGAGGAATCAGAAACAACTAAGATCCACAACAAGACTTCCACACAGCGTCTGTATGAGCGTATCAATATGCTCAAGCAGCAGAACGACGCACCGAAACGCATCAGCCAGAATATCGTATCCGCACAATCACAGCCTGAGAGTTCTACTATGCAAGCAAAGGAAGAAGTCGCGCCTGCGCCAGCTTCTCAACCAGCATACCCCAGTCTTCCAGCACCGGAAGCCACCCAGGAGGAGGATGACGATGACGACTGGATCTCACCTGTCCGAACAGCGGCAGTCGCCCCCAAGGTATCCAGACCGGCTTATAACAAAAGCTATACTGCTGATGCTCAGCCATCACCAGCCAAACACGTGCCCGCCAAACTCACCAACCTCACCTCATTTTCAAATCCAGATCTCTCAGCAGTTGCTGAATCAACCACGCCGGTTGGCTCTCCGACTAGTAAGAAATACATGGATGGCCCCCTCAGCGCATCGAAGTCTAAATTGTATTCAGCATTCCGCTTAGCGAAGGAGAAGCTCATCGGGTCGAGTGCTACCAGCGCTCAGGTCAAGATGGACGCTCTCAAAGACAGCCCTGCAAGACCCAAGTTGCCGTCCTCAGATGCATCAGATGAGGTCTTCAGCAGCCCCAAGCGCGCAGAAAGACCAGTCTCCATCTTCAACCACATGCGCTCGCCTTCTAAGGATTCCATCAAGTCTGGTAAAAGTGCTACTATGCCTGGTAGCCCTCTCAAGGGCGATGGCCGCCGAACTCGCAGCTCTACCGAACGGGAGAAGCAGAAGGAAAAGGAGACCCGTGAGAAGGAGATGCGAGAGACCAAGCAGCAGCAGCGTGCTGAGGACAGACTCAGGCAGATGCGCGAGAAGGAGCAGAGCAAGGCCGCCGCGCAAGCTCAGAAGGCTAGGGCCATGGGAGCAAAGACACCAACCGCCATGTCTTCCCAGTCGAGCCTGAGAATGCCTACTGCCGTGGCTGCAAACAAGACGCCAGCTCAGGCAGCTCCACAACCGCCCGTGTCTCGCCCTGGCGTCCCTCGGTCGAATGCTGCCTCGTCCAGAGAACAAGACGTTGACTCCGGCGACGAGATGCCACCCCCTCCTCCACCAAAGAGCCTTTTGCCCACTACTAAGGCCACCAAGGCACCTCTTCGAGAGCCCAGAAAACTTGCCAAGCCAACGAGCAAAGACGCAATAACCGCGAAAGCACCACAGAAGATCATGGTTAACCTCAAGAGTAGCCAGTATGGCCAAGCCCCACCTCCTGCAGCTCGTCCAGCTGCATCGTCCAGCAAGCCTCTCCCTTCTGCTCCACAGAACTTGAACAAGTCTGTAGGCCCATCTTCACGACCTCCTCCAGCTGCGTCATCTCGACCGGCTTCAGCTCTGTCTACCAAGTCCGTACCCGGGACCAAGACATCAAAGCCTGTTGCTAAGCCTGCTGCAACCCGAGTTGCCCGAGCGCAAACAGTCGTCGAGAAGCCCAAAATCTCAGCGTCTCAGCCACCTCGATCTGATCTCGGAGCCGCCCGACCCGTATCACGATTGCAGACAGTTCAAGACGCCAACCGTATCAATATCCCTCCTATCAACCCTGCTAAGCCTCCTCCTAAGCGACAGTTCCCTGGCGAGGGCGATGAGACTCTTCATCGTCCGGCCAAGAGACCTTCGCAACAAGCGAAAAATCTCAACCCAACTACCCCAGGCCATGCTCAATTCGCCAAGGGCAAGATTCCTTTCGCTGCCGAGTCTTCATACCAGCCGGTATCCCAAACACCCCACATCCAATACCCCAACGGAGACGACATCAAGCTCCCCGAAATCATGACCGACTCCGAGGATGAAGACTCCGAAAACGAGTTCGAGCAACCAAGCTGGGTTAACACGCCCAACCTACGCGAAATGCTCAGCAACCAGCAGCTCATGGACCCTGAACACATCTTCGGGCCCATTGCACCATTGGAGATGGAGAAGGTGTTCCCCAACAAGGAGCGTCACAAGAGGTTCCGCGAGCGTACTAGCAGCGCCTATTGGGCCAACGACGAAGTCACGGCTGAAGAGAAGCGGAAGGAGCGCGAAGCGAGAGAACGTCTTGTGAGGGATGGCGGATGGACGTACAATCCATCGCCACTTCCTAAACAGGCTGGTTCTTCGAGATGAAATTGTCATGACGGTTTGAGGTATTAGCATCTTCATTCAGGCGCTATGTCTATTCAGAGGACAGCGCGTCCGATGTTTGAGTCTTGCATTGTGTGTGCGTGTGTTGTAAATATATGCTGTCTGAGGCGCATCACGATCCGCATGAATGAGCATGAAGAATAAGCGTGCTTGGAGGTATTGGTTTGGTCATTGTTTGTAAAGGCGTTGTAGGATTGGCAAGCATCTTCAGGATGAGCGGAGCATCGGCCCCAAAGAGTGGCTGGCTATGATTGCTGGCGTTTTAATGTTCTATCGGCTTACTTTCTTGGATTAATTCTTTTTTGAGTAGCTCTATGAAATGGAGACTCTGATCACGTTCACGTATTAATCGCTTTGGCATATCTGATGACCTTTTCTCTGATTGATAGTATGCTTGTGGATGTTGTCTCTTTCCAATGCTGACATCGTAA